ATTTCTAAGACAACTTCATGTTATTAGAGTAATAACATTCTAATAATGTTATTACTCAAGATTGTGAAAATTTATAATGATATGACCTTGAGCTAATTTCATTATAAACTATTAATAAAAGCAGGTTGATTTGATTAAAATAAATAGAGATTTTTTGAGTCAAGTCTTGAATCACTTATTTGATTTGATTTAAAATATTTAAGCTTAGCAGGGGCCTAATATATATATATATATATATATATATATATATATATATATATATATATATATATATATATATATATATATATATATATATATATATATATATATATATATATATATATATATATATATATATATCCACGACATGATATTAAATTAGTTTTTTGAGGTAGGTAAGATTTTTTAGGCCTTAAATTAGAGCACACATTGTTTTTGTCACGATTTTTTTATAAAACATTAAATTCAAAATCAACTAAATCGAAAACTAAAATGCTTTAATTTTTTTAATACAAGTAAAATCTATATGCATTATGAAAATCCAAAATAAGATCTAAACATATTGATTTAGATACCAAAAAAAAATAATAATAATTAAACATTTTATCTTAATTTAAAAAAACAATCGGACTAAAGTTAAGTATATATTTCAAATAATATATTAAAACAATAATTTACCAAAGAAAAACCATAAAAAAAGCATTTCAATATTTTGCAGATCCACCTTTCTTAAATAAGGATTGAAGAAGGCAATTATCTAAAATTTCAATGTTTCTATCAGCATTAAGTCAACCTTCAAATAATTAATAGCATTTAAGTCCTGCATAATTCATGTAGGCCCAAAAGTCTACACTGCCATTACCTTGCTTGGTTGGTTTTCATGTACAATTCAAATCAAATTACTCTTGAGGTGATCGCCATAGCAGAACATGAAGCAATAACATATTTTTGCATATCTACCTCAACATTCATTTTGTCTGAGAATATAACATTTCACCACTTGCTGTCGTGTTTCATCAAGCAAATTAATTTTATTAATTAAAAACGTTTATCTCATTGTGTTGCCCACCAGATTATCCAGATCCATAATGTCATCTGTTTCAGTATAAGGTTTTCAAATATGTGAATATTCAATATTTAACTTATTGGCTATTTGATGAGGAGATAATACTTGGTTTTAAATAAAAATAGATTTGTAACATGTTTTTTCAGAGAATCTCAACCATGATTTTGGAGTTTCATGCTGTATTACTTCACTTGTTATGAGGCTTTTTCAATATCTAATTTCTTTGTGTTTTCATCAGTACTATTTCAAAATTAGAAATTTAGAGTTAATAAATGCTAAAGAAAATCAAATTAAATTATTAAAAAAAATATTACATTAATTTTAAAAATAAGCAGTAAGCATTAATTTTTAACAAACAAAAAAAATTTAAAAAAATATAGTCGATGTTATAAAGTTACATATAATTAGGGATACAAATGAAATTTTATGGTAACAACTTATCCATTAAATAAAATATACGATACTTATTAATTAGAAATAATAAAATATTTAAAAAGCTAACTAGTTTTTAAAGTAATTTTAAGCAAACAGGATATATAAGTAAGAATGCTCTAATTAATGGCCAATGGTGTATGTATATATATATATATATATATATATATATATATATATATATATATTATATATATATATATATATATATATATATATATATATATATATATATATATACTGTATTGTATTACATAGTATACTATGCTTGGACATATATTATTATTTTTAATATTTTATTATTTTTCAGAGTTTGATTTATATGCATTAATTGTGTTTGCATACAATTGTTGTAATCGTGTTGTAATATAATATGCACACAAATTTATTGGATACAAATTGTATATAATATATAGTTAAATGATTATGATATATTATAAAAACTATATTTTATAGTTTATATTACCTATATTATAAAAACAAATATAAACTAAATGCTATATAAACAATGTAACATAATACATTTATATTTAACTTATATATAAATATTTTATCTTACATACTTTATAAGTAACTTGTGAACTTTTTAGCCTTTTTTTTTTTTTGCATTTATAGTATAGTCATTCACATATAATTATATATTATAATTTATATTATAATCATTCACATATAATTATATATATATATATATACATATATATGTATATATATATATATATATATATATATATATATATATATATATATATATATATATATATATATATATATATATATATATATATATATATATATATATATATATATTAGCTATATACCTTAATATAAATGTATCATACATCTACAAAAGTAGTGTTGGGTGAATTCTATTTTTGTTCAGAAAAAAATTGAATACTCAGATCTGAAAACAATTTCAAATCAAGATAAGACTATTCAAAATAAAAAAGTAAAAATTATTAAATTGTATCGCTCAGATTTTTAAAAAAACAGTTTTGAAAATGTAAACAAATCACGCTTTTAACAGTCAGATAAATGTAGCAGAGAATCACAGTTTTTTATATATTTAAACATCTTTATATTGTTTTTTGAATCAACAATTCAATTATCTTTATTATTATTTCATTCTATCAAAAATATGCAAATAATAACTACTAAGTAAAACTTTAAAAATATTGTTGCTACTCGAAAAAATTTTGGTATCTAAAGGCCGTCACCATCTTTAAAATTATAATATTTGAATTTGACACTGCGCTTGCGTATAATAACTTTCCACATCTAAACGACCGTGATGACAATATAACTTTAAACCCCCCTCAAGTTGAAAAAACTGCAAATTTTATATGGTCATAACTTTTAAACGCTAAGAAATAATACTATAAAATTTCTCGATGAATATAAGTCTAGTTGAAAATAGTACAGAAAATATTTCATCAACTTGTTGCTTTCACGTTTTGGGCAGAAAGTGCTAAAACTTTGGGTTTTTATGTTCCCAGACTCCAATCATCGCAAGCATCATTATTTGACATAAGTATAAACATATAAATGTTTGGAGTTTGCTCCATATCTGGAAGTTAGATATCTCGAACACCAAAAAATGCTTTCGCCACCCCTGCTACTCAGACTGTACCCCAATTTTAAACAATTTTCGGCTTCGTTTTTATTTCAGCCTATCTATATAGATAAGCTGGAATAAAAACGAAGCTGAAAATTGTTGCTCATGGAATCATGAAAAATATGCTCATGGAGGTAAAATAGCTATTTTACCTCCATGAGCATAGGCTGTTTAATATTTATTTTGCCACACACTGACAGCACAGCGAAAATTTTAATATGGCTTCACTTTTAGATTGGTGTTTTATTAAAAAGACTATGTCTATGTTTTTCTAAGATTAAAATTGAAGTGAACTTAATATGAAAGAAATATCCTGGATTATTATTTTATTCATCTGAATTAATTGAGGAAGTAATATTTATTGTTTACTTCTTGTCACTTAATGCAAAAATAGTTTTCACTTATTGCTTTTCATTTATTATTCACTTATTATTATAGTTTTAACTTTTATATAAGTATTAGAGGTCAAGGGTTCGAAGCGAGCTCTGGGCTTATTTTGCGCTGTCGGTTAGGAGGAGGCGTAAACTTCCTATTAAAATGCTCTTGCGCGGTGCTTTTTGACTAGACTTTTTGTTTTAGGTCTTCTTGGAACACCTAAAATAATGTTCGTGCTTTTTATCTATTAAAAAAATATATTTTACTCCACTTTTTTTCTCAAGTACAATATATATACTATATATATACAATATAAATACTAAATGATAATAAGTTACAATACTCTGCTCATATATAAAAAAAATGTGATTAAATAAAACAAGATACTAAAAATATTTATATTTATAAGCATTTGTTGTTAAAAAAAATCTGAAACGTTAAAATTCTGTATGTATTATATAATGTAATACATACATAAAAATTATATTACATTTTGAATGGGAGTGTTTCTTTACTTTTCGTTTTTGTTTATTTTCGTATAGTTAGTACATATATATAATATAAAAAACATTCCTTTATTAAATAAAAGCATGTTTTCTTGATCGCTTATTCCGTAATTTATGTCCTCTCAGAAATTTAGTTTATTTCTGAGAGGACTTGGTCTAAATCTTAAAGAACTGAATAAATGATCAACTGATAGAGTTGACGGTACACTTAGAGTAACTTGTGCTATTTCATAACAAAGTATATAAATTAATTTCTGACTTTCCCACCATGATATACCCATATTTAATTCAATAGACTAAAAATTTACCCATAACAAAAGCATTTTAAAGTTAAATCTTAACGTAGAATCCTGGTTTAAAATGAGGGTTCGGACTCCCTAAAGTAGGGTTTAAAAAAAGTGTTCTAGAACCCCGCGTAATGGAATTCGGAGAAAGGGGTTTTAGAACCCTTGTTTAAAAAGGATTCTAGGACTCCTCAATTTCCGGGTTCGTTACCCTTTTGAGATTCTAATTTCTGTTTTTTACATTTTGTAATAAAGACAGTCTCATTCTACACTGATTTTGTTTTCATTTTACATGGTATATAATATTTCTTCATAATTCTTGTTTAAATAAGATCTAAGTATAAGTGATCAAATTAAAATAGTGACCAAAATGAATATACAATATGAATCTTAATATATATGCATCAAGGGTTGAATTAACGCATCGCGATTTGCGATATCTGTTAAATTATCTGGTCTTCAAAGTTTATATATATATATATATGCATGTTTTTTTTTTTTTAATTTTGACGATCCAAGTCTCGTCAAAATATTTCTAAAATCAAGTCACTAAACTTTTTTTTGCTCAAAAGTTTTAATAAAGTGAATTTATTAAAATTTAGCGAAGTTCACTATTCATCACGTTTATTCGGAAATTGAAGATATCTAATTCGATGTCATAAAATGACACAAATCAACTAATAAATTTCACAAATTATAAAAGTTTTTGTAACACCTTCTTAGTGAATAATTTTGAAAAGCAATAAGTAGCTGCATATGTATTATGAAACATGTCATGTAAAATATCAAGAAAATATTATATAAATATACATAAAATAATAATTTAATAAATATTGAGACGAACGTCAACGTTCCTCATAAAAAAAAATAAAATGATTTGTTGAGCCCTAATACACACATACAGACATGCACAACAACAACAACAACAACAACAACAACAACAACAACAATAAACAATTTCAATAATTTAAAAATTTTAAATTTTATTAAAACTGAATTTTTATGGCAACAAAAAAAAATATCAACAAACAAATTCAATTTAAAATAAGAAAGAAAAATAATACTTAATATATAAATATACATTACTATTTACAAGTCATTTTTCTATTAACATGGTTTATGATGTCTTGAAAGTTTGGCTTTTTTGATTGCATTTTTAAGATGATTGTATTTACTTTCAATAATGTTCTTTTCTATAGTAACTTGTTTGAGGAGGTTTTTGAGATGTTCATTCTCCTCCATAACTGTTCTTTGAGAGTATAATCTCCTCTCGCGACATGTTTGAGCATATCCTCTGTTTTTAAGCAATCTTCTACGTGCTTTAAGTTTCAACTTTTCATCTTTGGGTAGATTTTTTAATTTCAAATTTAGCTGACGAACTGGCATTGCCATTAAATCTTTATCACTAATTGAGCTGCTTTTTTCATCATAAAAATCTTCTAACTCAGGTTGGTTGAGAATATTTTCGGTATCCATAAGAATACTTTCGGTATCATCTTCCTCTTCGTCAAATTTTGTTGAGCTAGGTGTCTCTGGATTTATAATATTAACAGTTGGAATACATTCTGAGTGGTCTTTTTTATCTGCAGGTGGAAAATTATAAAAATCACTATTATTTAGAAACATTTCTAAAAACATTGATTGCTGAGATTCTAAATCAAATTCAGGAACATTGATATTTCTTATGTTTGGAAAAATTAAATTATTTTCCGGAAAAATAAATGTTTGATGATTTTGAATGAAAAATTGATCTTGGTCAGGGCTTGGGCTTATAATACTTTCACCCTCAGCAAATTCATAAATCGCATCTGAATAGCCATGAAAAAATTTGTTTACAGTATCTTCCATTATTACTAAAAATACAAACAAAAGATTTTATCATAAATAAACCATTAAAATAAAACAATTTATAATATTGAGATTTGAAAAGTTAGATCTCAATACCACTAAATTATTTATTTTTATCAAAACTTCTATCCATCGATTAAAAAAAAATTAATTCCGAAACTAAAAAATCTATCAGTGCAAATTTAACTGTTAAAAAAAACTAAACTTTTACATCTATTCCAAAAGACAATCCAAAAAATGGCTCCTCAAGATAAGAAATCTATTGTTACGCATACTGGTAAAAAAAAAATTAATGGAAATGTGCATTCATAGTTAAATTTCTACCCACTTTGTTAAGAATAATCTTTTACAACTAAAACAACTATTCAAGCTATTATCTCTAAATAAAAATCTTTAACTAATATTAATAACATCTTAGTATGCATCAAACTAGACAATCACATTGAAATGGGGAATATAGTTTACATAAGCTGAACATTTTATTAGATGGGTTACAATTAACACCACCTAATCATATCTCTTTTTTTACAGAATTTTGTTAAATTCTGTAAAAAAGAGATGTGATTAGATGGTGATTTAGGTGATTAGGTGTTGTTAATAGCATTAATTGATTAAATGTTATAAGTATAGCAGGAAAAAAGGGCGGACTTGTACACGACGCACCCCCTACGAAATATTAATAATCGTGACCAAAACTGTCCCAATTCTTACGTTCAAATAATAAATGTATATTTCGTTGTGTTAATCCCTATTTATTAGTCAAAGCATTTACATTTAATTCTATTCATCACTTATGATCAATTGAGGTAATTACACTTTAAATAATTAAATTAATTAATTTTACTTGGTCAGTAAAATAACATTTTCGATAAAACGTGTTTTAAACTTAAGGGGGTGCGTCGTATACTAGTTCGCCGAAAAAAGCACAATAATCTCACAACACAATTATCACTGTGGTTTCTTGTTCTAAAAAAGTTACATGATTGTAAACTTAAAAAGTATAAAATATTTATTCTATTTGCTGCAAAGTCAAATGGTACAACATTTTGCCAACTGAGATCAAGAATATAATAAAATATCAAATTAAAATTTGGAGTTACTAAGCATTTAAATAGACTAAAATAGTTCCAATGTTTAACAGCAAAATGAAAAAAACTATCAGTTTAATTTGTCAACAAGTGACTAAAGTAGCATCTAATTACTGGCTATATCAAATAAAATATAACAAAAAGTTTATATTCAAATAGAACAATTAACAGTTTACAACAGTTAACAAAAAAACGTGTTTAAAACAGATATATTCACAATTTAATCATATATATATATATATATATATATATATATATATATATATATATATATATATATATATATATATATATATATATATATATATATATATATATATATATATACAACTTCATGATTGTTACCTTTTTAATTAAATCTATTCGAGTTTTGTACATATATATATATATATATGTATATATATATATATATATATATATATATATATATATATATATATATATATATATATATATATATATATAGATATATATATATATATATATATATATATATACATATATATATACATACATATATATATATATATATATATATATATATATACATATATATATATATATATATATATATATATATATACATATATATATATATATATATATATACATATATATATATATATATATATATAAATATATATATATATATATATATATATATATGTATATATATATATATATATATATATATACATATATATATATATACATATATATACATATATATATATATATATATATATATATATATATATATATATATATATATATATATATATATATATATATATATATATATATATATACACATATATATATATGTACAAAACTCGAATAGATTTAATTAAAAAGGTAACAATCATGAAGTTGTATATATATATATATATATATATATATATATATATCTATATATATATATATATATATATCTATATATATATATATATATATATATATATATATATATATATATATATATATATATATATATATATATATATATATATATATATATATATATATATATATATATATATATATATATATATATATATATATATATATATATATATATATTATATATATAACTTCATGATTCTTACCTTTTTAATTAGATCTATTCGAGCTTAGTACGCTTTGTTTGTCTTATTCGCACCATATGCCTTTATAATTTGTAGTCTACCATTATGCTTGTACCATGACATCATAGCCAACCAATAAAATCATTTTTATTTAAAAAAAAATGTCAACTTAATCTAAGGCCTGTCCAGACAAGAATTTCATAAATACAACAAAAACAAAAACCCGTATGGGTCTGTTATACCATAGAAAAATAAGTTTTATACTTCCATAATTATACCTAATATTATTTTTATATCCAATTTAAATTTTTTCAATTTAAAAAATAAACTCTGAATTTCAGCTTACTAATACTTCTTAATTAAAGCAAGTGGTTTATCCTAAGATATCGGTGTAACCTTCTTCAAAGGTGGAATATTGAGGAGGAATCAATGAAGCTTTATTGGTTCCTCCTCAATAACAAAAAGACAAACAAATAAACAAAAAAAAAATTAGACAACCACCTAACACCCCAATTTTTTTTCTTTTAAGGGGGAAACCCCCTTACAATTTTTTTTTTTTTTTTTTGAGTAAATAATATTATTATATAAGTTCAACTTTATATACACAAAGTAAAAACAAAAATTGAGAGCAAAAATAGCAGTTAACTTTTTTTGGATAAATTGCACCTGCAGCCGGTGCCAATACAACAAAATACTGAAAGCCCCTAACCAATGTAGAAGAAAGTCGGATAGCCTCCCCAGCTAGCACACTAAAAACATCTGGCAAAAATACATTGGTCCAATGTATGTAAAAACATCGCCAAAAGTTAATTGTTTTTACGATCTAAACCCAATGTTGATCCAATGTATATATTTCGACGTTGATTCAATGTATATAAATCAACGTTTTTCCAATGTATGTTGTATTATTGTATAAACAATAATTGTTGTATGAACAATAATTGTTCTATAGATATGCTTTATCTGGATTTTGCTAAAGCATTTGATAAAGTACCACATTCACGTTTAGTCCATAAATTAAAATCATATGGGATTATAGGCAACTGTCTAAAATGAATAGAAGAGTTCTTAAGCAATAGGAAGCAGAGAGTGTTTTTGGGGACCGTGTATCAAATTGGTTACCAGTTATCAGCGGTGTACCACAAGGATCAGTTCTAGGACCGTTACTATTTCTGTTATTCATAAATGATCTACCAGATCATGTGAAACTTTACGCCGATGATAGTAAAATTATTAACATAATAAGCAATTCATGTGACGCTAATAAAAAACTTCAATTAGACATAGACAATATCATGGCATGATCATCTACTTGGCAAACAGAATTTAATTATGACAAATGCAAGATTATGCATATTGGAAGAAAAAATCTTAATCGTCTGTTCATAACGCATGATATTGACACCAATTTAAATCACAGCATATCAGTTACTGAAACTGAAAGAGATTTAGGTATATTGATACAATCTGATTTAAAATGGAAAACTCAAATTGATACAGCGGTTGGCAGAGCAAACTCAGTGCTTGGTATTATAAGAAGAACATTCAAATACGTCGACACACATATGGTGAAAAAGTTGTACGTAACGTTTGTTCGGCCACACCTTGAATTTGCGATTCAAGCTTGGTGTCCATTTTTAAGACAAGACATCGATAAAATTGAGAAAATCCAAAAAAGAGCCACAAAGTTAGCGTCAGCATTAAAAAAAATACCATATGAGAAAAGATTAGATATTATGAAATTAACAACTCTATAAGAACGGCGAATACGTGGCGATCTAATCCAACACTATAAAATTCAACATGGGTTTGATAAAGTAAATTGGGTTTCAAACTACAATTATACCGCATCACAAGAAAGCCTCCATCTGAGGCAACATAAATTCAAATTAAAAAAACTATTCTGCAAGAATACTATCAGATAAAATTTTTTCTCTAATCGTATAGTCAACATATGGAATAATCTACCGAGTGACATAATAGAAGCAGAATCAATAAATCAGTTCAAAAACAAACTAGATAAATCAAATATTTGAAAAAACATTTTATTACAAAATTGTTTTTAAGATAATTTGCTTTAGAGATTTAGGATTTGTTCAAAGCTGATACAGTGCAATATCAACTGTTATTGCGCTCCACAACTGTTAACACCAGTTGTTACAGCTACCTCTTATTATATATATATATATATATATATATATATATATATATATATATATATATATATATATATATATATATATATATATATATATATATATATATTATATATATATATATATATATATATATATATTATACATTATTGTGTAAAACCGACTACTTTGTTTATGGAGAAAACTTATTAAAGTATTTTGTATATACTTTTTCCTTGTTATTTGGAAAAGATCAGTATGATACATATCATTGTTGATACACTTACCAGATGTTGCTAGGCAATTTGGTGTGTTATATAATACTTCATATTTTCCTTTTAAAAGCTATTTGGGAAGACTGAAAAACTTAGTTTGTCAACCTAAGTTACCTTGCTGACAAATTGTGCGACGGATTTGGAAGTTTATTTGCAACATTTTAAATGTGCAGTAGTATAACATTGAAATTTAAAGAAAAAAGTTTACTAGGTCCAATACCATCGCCATTACGTCACTACATTCAATACAAGCAAAATTTTGAACTATAGTTTCTGGTTTCTCTTGCTACAGCTAACAATTGCTTTGGTGTTAATGATAAAATTATTTTTTTTCAAAATATATTAACTTACGTATTCTGCACAGAGTGCTCATGTTATCAAGAGTTTCAGCGTAAGCAATAATTTTTAGGAATCCTCCTAATTCAACAAGCTTGTCAATATAATATGTTGAAAATGTGTCTTTTAATACAACATTTTTTATAAAAGAACAAAATATAATCTATTAAAATTACTATTTAAAAACAACTTTGTAGCTATTCCACAAACAACTTGTTGCAAAAAATGAAATTACTTTACTATTTTGTTTAAACAAAAAATTATTTGAATTCAGAATAATTTTTTAAATATAATATAAAATTACATAACTATATAAAATAAGTATTATTTAACTATGATTTATAATGGAAATGCTTCCATATTTTAAAAAAATTATTATGAAAGGTTGAGCAAAATAAAATAGTGTAATAAATAATGTAGTTTATAATTGCAATTCAATCAAGGCTTTAAATTTCATTACCAATGTTTTAAATTTAAAATTTTATTTTTCAATGTTTCAATGAAACATTCTTCAACTTAGGGGAATCTGTAAATCTACAGATGATTGCTAATTTAGTAACAACTGTAATTAACAAAAAATAAAATATAAAAAAGGCTCTAGAAATACATCAAGCAAAAATTCAATGAATACGTCGCAAATTTGATTTATAAGATTATATCTATCCAGATCTTCCAAAAGCTATTACACAGTCAGTTTAGTTAATGGAAGAAATAGAAATTGAAAGAAGCTGGAAATTCTAGGAATAAAGAAAACTGTTGTTAGAATAATCACTTATAAATATTTTTTTTAGTTTTTTTATTTAATAAATATTTGCATTTTTGAATGTAATTTCATGTTTTTAATTTGTTTTGCAATTTTTTTATGTCTGTGCACCACAAATTGCATCAAATTTTTTATGGTTAAACATATTACTGATAACAGTGGTGAAGATCTAAGAAATTATATAATAAGGTCAATAACCATGCTGTTAGATAGCTTTGTTGCTCACATCAATTTGACAGGGTCAAAAGAAAACCAATCGTTTAAAACAAATGCAGTTCTTTTTTTTCTTTGTAGTGAATATAAATTTGCTTAGTATATTTACTTATGTAGAGCTTATAACTCTACAGAATATGGACCATATAAACTTTGCTGTGTATTTTTCCATAATGCTTAATTTTTCTTGATTTAAAATTAAGCTATATTAATGTCATATAATTTAAAAATTACATACAAAGGGAAGTTTAAATTACTCACGGGATTGTGGAAGAAACAGTCTTAGATCTACTTAGTTTGCTATCAACGTCAACATAACTGAACTAGACGCTGTTTATCTAACACCTTCAGAAAAATTGGTAAACTTGTTTAACATTATTATTGACTTTTTATTTAAAAACTAATATTTTATATTGAATCCGCTATAGGGTTTTTTCTTTTTATTTACAAGAATGACTTTAAGATATTCTCTCTGGTCACTTCACCCTGCCGTTTTACCTTTGGTCACTCCACGCTGCCTACCTACTATTATTATTATTTTAAAAGAACGTGCCATTTGAAAAAATAGTCAATAAAAATTGAAATTTTGTCGCGATTATGAGACATTAAATTTTTGCCAAAATATTTTTTCTTCCTACGGGCCTGATATATATATATATATATATATTTTTTTTCTTTCCAGAAAAATATGAACAAGGTAAATTTACATTGAATATATTACTGGTAGGACTTCCAGAAGATCACATGATCTTATCATGAAGCCCTTTACAATCTATATAACGAATTAAAAAATAGAAAATTTACAAATATTAAAAATTACATAAGCGTTAGAATATTCTTCAGATGTTAAGCAAGTTTTAACATAATATTTTATAATATGGATATATAACATTCTCAATATTGAACAATATTATAATATAAAGTATTCAGCATATATTGTTTAAATAATATTCATTACACAGTCGACAAAAATATCAAATAACTTGAAATACTAAAAATAAATAAATATATTTTGTGTTGAAAAGATTATTTCTTTTGTTTTCTTTTTAAAGGAGGAATAAGACCATTTAAAAGAAAAATCAAAGTTAGGTAAAACTACTTTATTCCAAAGAAATGGACCACGATAAGAAATACAAAACTGGTCAATTTTTGTTTTGCAAAACGGCTCTTGAATATTTTTACTATCACGAAGTTCATATTTGTTTTTTGGTTTCAAATTATAGAGATTTATAAATACACTTGGAAATAAATTTTCTTTACATTTAAACATAAAACATAAAATATTAAAAATATTTAGTTCGTATATATTTAAAGCTTTCATTTCTATAAGAAGTGGTGTTGAGCTTGAAAAACGATTTCCAAAATTAATTATGCGAGCTGCGTGTTTCTGATGCCGATAGAGAGATTTAAGTTTGGTTTTGTGAGCGCT